GGGCGGCGAGGGCCTGGGGTCGCAGGCGCCTCGCGCCGGGGTCTTTCTCGCGCCCGCTCACTCTCTCCCTCCCGTTTGGGGCAAGCGGCGGACGTCGCGCCTGCGCAGACGCGGCGGAGCGTCCGCTTCTCCGCGTTCTACGCCTGCGCGAGGCCTGGCTCATCGCGCCCCTTTTTTTTCCTCCCGCCTCGTCTGAGGATTTGGACGAATAATAGGAGACAGGGAACTGGGTCCCTGCCAATCGAAGGAAGGGTGGGTGGGGCTGGAGGCGGGAAGGGGGTGGTAACCTGGAAAGAGGAAACGGAGAAGGCGGAGGGCTCTAAAACCAATCAGAGAGTAGGTGAGGGCGGGAGGCGGGATAAGGGAGGTAACTAATAAAAAAGCGGGAACCTGAACTTCCTGTCCAATAAGCACAGCTGAAGAGTAAATGACAGCGGAAGGGCGGGGAAGAAGGCAGGTACAGTGTAGTGGAAGGCGGGGCCTTGAAGCTTCCTGGCCAATAGGAATGGTAGAAAGGGAGCCAATGAGAAAGGGAATAGGCGAGCAATGACGGACAGCAGCTATAGTCAATAAAAAGAGGGGAGGAATTCTTGGGTCTCCGAAGATGGTTAAGAAGGAATGACCCCTGGGGGAAGGCGGGCCAAACTTGCGATTCATTTGCTTCGTTAGCCAATGATTGCTCTCTTCCACTTTAGCAACAGAGTAGGAAGATAGCTAGTCTTCTCCACCAATGGTAGCATCAGACGAGTAGGGATGCTGCCAGCAGGCGGTGCCAGCCCAGAGATAGTCGGTGACAACCGGAGACAAGCGCGAGAAGGGGATGACAGTTGGTGACGGCGCAGAGAAGGGGCCGGGAGCACTTAGTACAGCTCTTAACAATAAGAGTGCCGTGCTGCCCGTTCTGAGTTCTTTAGCTCCTGAGTTTCCCTCTGATAGTCTGTGGGACTCTGAGCTGTGCCCGGATCCTGTACTGTCGACTTTTGTCTAATTCGACTCTACTCAGAGCTCCCAAATCCTCTAAGCTACCCCTCTCTCTTGATCTCCTATTTCCCGCAAGAATTTCAAGCCCGGGGCTGGAGATTAGCTGAGCGGCACAGCGCCTGCGTGGCAAGCGTGAGGTCGTGAGTTCGATTCCTAGTACCGGAAAAAAAAAACAAAAAAAGAAAAAGAAAAAGAAAAAAAAATTTCAAGCCCCAAATCCCTTTCCTCACCTCCCATCTATCTGAGCTCCTCCCCAGAATCCAAACTGCAGTTCCGCAGACATCATGCCTCCAGATGTTCTAGTGGGAGACTCCAGAACCCAAACCCATGAATCCCTTTTTTTTGTGTAGTTGGTTTGTTTTTCTTCCGGTGTCAGGAATCGAACTCACGACCTTGTGCTTGCCAGGCAGGAGCTTTGCCGCTGAGCTAAATCCCCAGCCCCATGAATCCCTAACATCATGAACTCCCCTATCTGTATTCTTATTCTTTGAGATAGCAAAGACCCCAGTCCTATCAATTCCTCTCCCTTCATTGCCACATCTCTCTGTGCTTCTCACTTCCTCTAAGAACCTACACCCCACTCTCATGAGCCCCCAGGTTGCCCTTACTCCACAAGCACGAAGACCCAACCCTATGATCCCCAGCCTTCCAACTTCTCAAGCACACCCCCCACCCGATTCCCCTGAGCCCCAGGGTTAGAAGGTTCTGACTTCCATACAGAGTCTGCCATCCTGATATTTCAGTCCCACCTAGCTTCCAGATTCCCAGCTTCTCCTCGGTTTCTGAGTTATCTGGGAGTCTTCACCCCCAGCTCAGACCCACGCCCTGTGAATGTCCATTCAGTGTCTGATCTCCTTCTCAACTCCTCACCTTCCATTTGACTCGTTTCTTGAACACTCCCTCCCTTTTGGAGTCCTTGTCCCCTCCCAGAATCCGGTAATGAGTGGGCTCCTCCCTGGCCTGGACCCCCCATGGTAACCATATAAGGCAAGGCAGCTGCCATCTGAGGCAGGGAGGGCCCAGTGCAGGAGGCCAAGGCCAGCTGCTAAGTTTAGGGTGGCTCCTTCACTATTCTTAAGAGACAACAGGTGGCTGGGCCCGGGTGCCCAGAAAAGAAAATGTCTTAGAAGCATTGGCATGGAGCTGGAGGAGGGGGAGGGGGGGCCCTTTCTTGGGACATCAGGTCCTAGAGGGAGCAGGAGGAGGAGGAGGGCATGGGTGGCTCTGCTAACCTGGGGCTTCCTCTGCCACTGTTTCTGCAGATTTCCACTGCACGGAGAGAAGTGGGGCACTGGAGCCCAGAGGCTTAGGAGGGGGCGCCTCCAAGTCACACAGTCAGCTAAACCAGTTCTTGCCCCGAGTGAAGAGAGAGGCTACTAGCCATGGCAGCTACGTTGGAACGGGAGTCAGCTCACTTCCCTCCTGGTGTCTTTGCGCCCCCTCCCCTGAGGCCCAGCCTTCTCTCAGCACGCAGGAAATGCTCTAGACTCTTACTGGGTCATGTCTCTCTCCCGCTTTAAACCTGTTCAAGCTCCCTAGGTCTCCACCTTCCACCCTCAGTGTCTGCTCACCAGGCCTTTGCACTCTCAGCTTCAGCTCTACCACACTGCTGGCAGCCTGGGCACCTGATCTCTCTCTGCCCACGCCCTTTGCCCAGGCAGACATGCTCTCAGCCTAGAGGCAGGGTCCCGGCCTCTCCACCTTCACCTGACTTGCTCCACTGGCCTTCCCTAAGCCATTGCTATACCCCTAGATGGGGCTGCTGAGCCCTCCTCTGCTTCTGGGCTACTGACCAGCTGGTCCATCCTTTCAGCAGTTATTCCTGTCTCTACCCCTAGACCTTAAGTTCCACCAAGGCAGGGCCTGATTAATCCTAATGAAATTTCTACGGGATAAGAATTATTTCCACCTTGTAGAGGAAAGTAAGGCCCAGGGCATTAAAGCACAAAGCCCGAGACCACAGAGCTATCTTTCCTCACAAAATCTACCCTCTCCTTGGAGGAGATGTAGGAGAACTTCTTGATCCTCCTGCTCCCACAGATGGCTTTCTCCCATCTTTAAGCTCTCACTACTCTCACACACACACTCACACACACAAACACACACACACACACACACACACACTCTTGACTAGGAATGCCACCATGTGCTTGTGCAGGAATTGTGTTTGTCAGAGTACACCCACAAAGCTATGCACACTGCCTGACACACTATAGGTGCTCAGTTAATGGCTAACGGGGTTCAGATTTTAAATACAGTCCACTAAGAGGTATGGGGATCTGCTTTACCTCTCTTTCTTTCTCCCTCTGTCTCTGAACTCTGGCACATGCCAGCCCCCTTTGGAGAGAAAGAACATCTCTTCCTGCCTAGCTCCTAATGAGACACACATCCCAAGACCCACCCCCTCCTCCCTCCCTGGGCTCCAGCTGCCGTGGGCCCTCCAAGAAAGGAGAGGCCCTGAGCTGGGCTATTTTGGTATCTGGGGTGGGCACCCGCAGGGCTAAGGTTACCCTGGTATGTTAAGGGCTCCCTGCGGTAGGACTATATAACCTCAGAGGGACTGCGCCGGGCTGACTCTCTGCTGCTTTCCAGCCAGAGCCGCTGCCCCGCTCCAGGAGACCTAGGCCATGGTGAGTGAGAGTGCCCAGCCTATGCCCAGATCCCTCAGACTCGGGGGAACCTCACCCTAGAAAGACAGTAGCTGCTTCCCAGTCCGAAAACTGATGAAAAGATGACTCCTCACTTTCTTGATATCACAAGAGGGAAACAGCGGTAGCTTCGAGGACAACAGGGTAATCTGTCCAGATGCTCCACTCACAGGGTCTGGCCCCCCTCAGCCTGCTTCCATCCCTCCCCGAAGTCCTCTAGGCCAGCGGGAGGACTCCCACTGCTGTTTTGTGAATGAGAAAGGAGAGGTTTAGCCAGGTGAGATGAGCGGATCGGGGCCACACAGGGAGCCTGGGGCTCGGAGGAGGCAGGCTGAGGGTGTGGAGAGGGAAGAGTGCAGGGACGGGTAGGAGGTGGGCATGCGAAGGATGTAACCCACACAGTCCCTTCATGGGATGCCCTCAGGAAGTCCCAGGAAAGAGAAGAGTCATTTTATTTATTTGCCACATAGAAATGTGGCCACTTTTTTTTTTTTTTTTTGGCACCGGGAATCAAACTGAGGACCTTGCGTTTGCCAGGCAGGCGCTTGTGCCGCTGAGCTATATCCCCAGCCCTGGGCAGAGTCGTTTTAGAGAAAGCGATTCAAAGAGCTCCGAGTCTAGCTGGGTGTGGTAGCTCATGCCCAGAGACCCCACTCCTTGGAAGGCCGAGGTGACAGGATCACTTGGGCCCAGGAGTTCAAGATCAGCCTGGGAAACATAGCAAGACCCATTCAAAAAGCCAAACAAAAACACAGTGAACCCCGGGTAGAAGCCATTTCTTCCTGAGAGCTACGGGGCCAGCCCAGGGACCTCTGCCCACCTCTCACTCCCCAGGCACCCAAGAAAGCCAAGAGGAGGGCAGCAGCAGAAGGCGGAAGCTCCAACGTCTTCTCCATGTTCGACCAGACCCAGATCCAGGAGTTCAAGGAGGTGAGTGAGGCCTGGGAGATGGAAGGCTGGGCAAGGCGCCCTCCCTGGAATGTGCACCTGTTGGGGGACTGCGAGGGTTTAGAATTCCTTCCTCCCCTTCCCGCTTGGGGTGGAAGAGGACAGCTGGCCTGGGGCCAGAATCTGATCTGCCCGGGGTGGGGATGCGGAAGAGAAGTCACCGGAGACCTCATCCCTCACCGCCCTGCCTGTGGGGACCTCACGCTCTCCTGGCCCCTGCCCCCCACAGGCCTTCACAGTAATCGACCAGAACCGAGATGGCATTATTGACAAGGAGGACCTTCGGGACACCTTCGCAGCCATGGGTAAGTCAATGAACATTCAGGGTGTGAGTGGATGGGGGTGAGGGTGGGGATTCAGGGCCCTTGGGGTCCATCCCTGTCAGCTCCAGGTTGAGCCACAGTACCCATCTGAAAAATGGGTCAGATAATCAAGGGGCCGGGGATATAGCTTAGTGGCACAGTACCTGCCTGGCAAGTACAAGGTCCTGAGTTCGATTTCTGGTACCAAAAAGAAAAAAAAATCAAGACTCGGCTCC